CACGGAAGGCGAGGCCTCCAGTCAGGAAAAGCTCCCGAGGGCCACCCCTGTCAAGGGACGCGTGTCCGGACCTCAGATTCGGGGACCGGTCGCACGTGGCGCTTGTTCGGGGATTCAACCGCTTCAGGACTCTCAGCCGCAACAACCCCTCCCCCAACAAAAAACACCTTCGGACCCCCGGCCTGCAAGCGCCTTCCCCGAGCTGGGGCCCGCTGGCTTCAGCCCAGGCAACCCCGGCCTGGCGTGGCCGGAGAGCCTCCTCCCCCGTCCCGGCTGACAGGAACCCCCCCCCCCCCCGCTTTCCTTCCTCACTCCCCACCCCGGGGCCCCCCCACCCGGCTTACCCGGCAGCCCCAGGACGCGACCGCCGCCATCTTCGCCAAGGAAGCCTGGTGGGCAAGGAGCCCGGCGGCGCACGGTGATGATGTCGTAGCGCGACGGGCGGTAGGCTGGTGCGTCACGCCCGCCGCGCAGGCGCAGAAAAGGCACGTGGAGGCAAACACGTGGTTTTCAGGGGTTGCTGACCTGAAATGGGTTTTTTTTGGGGGGGGGGGGGGGCCGGGGCCCCCCCCCCCAACAGGACCCCTCCCTTTTCCTGGCTTAGCCTCCCGGTCCTGTGCGGGTGAGGGGCTTGGACCCTCTCTTTTTGGGGCTCCCCGAACAGGCCAGGGGCAAGGGGCTTCAGCTGCGTACCGCAGAAAGGCCGAGGGTTTCCCCCCCAGGCTGGCTCCGGCCGAGGCCCCGCCACCCACAAGCCGCCCAGAGTCCCCCCTCGGAGGGAAGATGAGGAGGGAGAAAGGAGGAAGGGAAAGAGGGAGGGAAAAAGGGAGGAAGGAAAGAGATAGGAAGAGGGAAAAAAGATGGAGGGAGGCAGAGGAATGAGGGGAAGGAAGATGAAGGGAGGTACAGGTAGTTCTCTTAATAGGGAAGGAAGGAAGGAAGGAAGGAAGGAAAGAAGGAAGGAAGGAAAGAAAGAAAGAGAAAGAAAGAAAGAAAGAAAGAGCTTCTGGCTTTCCTAATTCTCAGCCATCCTGGGAACGGAGCTACAGCTGCCCAAACAGCCCAGATGGATTGATTTCTGGTTCTGAGTCCAAGGGGTACAACAGCCCCCAAATACAGGTAGGGCTCCACTTACAACCGTTTACTGAAACAGTAACTTTTTTCAAAGCCCCCCCCCCAGTGACCTGTGCCCAGTTTCGACCAGCCCATTGCCGCATCCCCAGGGTCACGTGATCAAGTCAGATGCTTGGCAAACTGACTTGTATTTATGACAGTCCGAAGCAATCCCGGGGTGAAGCTGGGTTCGCTTCACAACTAATCCGGTTAATTAACTCAACTGCAGTGATCCACTTAACAACGGTGGCCAAGGTAGGTCGTAAAAGGGGCCAAAAGCTGCTTGAACAACTGCCTCGCTTAGCGGCAGACATTCTGGGCTCAATTGTGGCCATCAAGTCGAGGACCTGTACTAGGGATAAGAGTTTGATAGCTGCAAGGGACCTTTCGGGAGGGCCAGAGTCCCGTGCCTTAAAAAGTCAGGCAGGACTTTAAAAAAAATTATAAATTATGTTTCTTTTATCTCTTTATGACCTGTAAGGAGGCATATAAATTTAATAAATAAGAAGTATAAAGTCCCACCATCCCGCAAAAGACTGGAGAAGCAAGAGAAAGGTTAAGTCACAAAGAAACATCTTTAATGTCGACAGATTTCGTACGGTTTTCGTTGGACTGTGGTTCTATTCACACACGTTTTCCAAACACTTCTGGTCTGCCAAAGGTTGCAAACAAGCTATTTTCCAAAGGAGAATAGGTAACACAATGATCAGGACTAGTTTTTCCCCACCTACCCACCAAAAAAGAGATTTTCCACAAGATTCTTTCACCAGTCAGGAACTGGGCAAAGAAGTAAAAGTTCCTGGGGGTGGAAAAAATGGAATTACTTCTAGACACAATGCAAAATGGGTTTTTTGTTTTTTTCTTTTCTTCAATAAGGTGGCATTGCGACAAAAAAGAACCGGAATTCTGCATGTTTAAATGGTTTAAAAAACTACCTCAAAAAAATAAAAAATAGAGAGGTAAAGACAGACAAAACATGAAAAGAAGAAAGGGGGGGGGGGGGGAAGCTCTGCCCTATTTTAAAAAGGGAATTATTTAAAATGACTTCCAGAGCGCAAGCAGAGCTACTATCTTTACCAGTCTTACATCCGGGCAGATTTTTTTTTTAAAAAAGAGGAAAAACAAACAAACCCCACCATAAACAAGAAAGAATTACAAATCTAGACTCCCTCCCCCCACCTCACTTCCCCCATAACATTTAAAAAAAAAAAAAAGGAAGGGTGGGCTCTTTAAGCATTCCGGTCAATCCGGACATCGATTTCTCGGCCACGGAGCTGAATGCCGTTCATCATCCGGCAGGCTCGCTCGGCCACCTCGGGAGACTCGAACCGGACCACTCCGCAGCCTTTGGACTTCCCGTTCTCCATTTTGATGTCGGCGTACAGCACGTGCCCTGCAAGGAAATCCGTCGGCCGTCGTTGGGTCTCTTGGCTGTGCTTGTTCCCCCCCACCCTTTTCAAACACCCCAACTTGGCTCGCAAGCTTCGAAATCCTGGGTGCCCACCCTGAGCTTGGCAGTTTTTCTGGCAGATGTTTCGCGACCCAATGATGTAACCTCATCAGTGCTAGAAGGGAGGGCGGTGTGTGGAGAGGAGGGAGGGAGGAAGAGAAAAAGGAGGAACAGAGAAAGGAGTGGTGTTGGGGTCCTTGGTGTTCTCTGAGCTTGGCGGTTTTTCTGGCAGATGTTTCGCGACCCAATGGTGTAACCTCATCAGTGCTAGAAGGAGTGGGGTTTGCAGAGTGCAGGAGGAGAAAAAGGAGGAGGGGAAGAGGAGGAAGGACTGTGGGGTATCTTAGTGCTCTCTGAGCTGGGTGAGCTTTTCTTGCAGACGTTTCATTTCCCAACTAGGTAACATCATCCGTGCTAGAAGGGAGAGGGGCTTGCAGAAAGGGGGAGGAGGGGGGAGGAGGAAGAAGAGAAGGATGGGAGGAGGAAGGGGAAGGAGGACGACTGTGGGGTCCTTGGAGCTCTCTGAGCCTGGTTGTTTTTCTTGCAGACGTTTCATTACCCAACTAGGGAACATCATCCGTGCTAGAAGGGAAGGGCGTGGGTTGGAGGAGGAGGAGAAGGGCTGTGGGGTGCTTGGTGTTCTCTGAGCTTGGCGGTTTTCTTGCAGACATTTCAGGACCCAATTACATAACATCATCCGTGCTAGGTTTGTGGAGAGGAAGAGGAGGAGGAAGGAGGAGGACTGTGGGGTCCTTGGTGTTCTCTGAGCTTGGTGGTTTTCTTGCAGACATTTCAGGACCCATTTCATGACCCAAACTAGGCAACGCCCTCCGTGCGCGTCATTCCACAGAGCAGAAGAGAACAGGTAAGAAAGCAGCCCTCAGAAACCAATAAAACAGGAGCCCCCAACCTCTGGGCCATGGAAGGGTCGGGCGAGTGGGCGCACCCCCCACTTGCGCGAGCAGACGGCAAGCACACGTGCTCGCGCACACCCATCTCCCCCGTCTGCAAGGCCAGAAAGGTTGGGGATCTCTGCATTCTGCTATAAAAGGACCAGACTATCTGTTGTGGCCTGCCAGCAGAGCTGGCGGGAGAATCGGACGATGAGGAGGATTGGGGGAGGATCTTGGGCCAGTGCTGGAGCCTGGGATGGAGGCAGAGATAAGAGCCAGGGCCGTCCGACATCTCCCAGCCCCCAGAGAGGAACTGCCTTCAGAGATTGGCACGAGTGAGGAGGAAGAGCAGCTGGGGCCTATTCCAGACGCACGTATGTGCAGAGATGTGAGGAGAGGGGAACGGCGGAGGTCAAGGAGTCGACTCGGGCAGCAAAGCACATGTGAACGCTGAATGGGCCCGTCCCAGGCTGGGGAATAAATAGAAGGAAAGGGGAGTGGTTGTCGGAGGAGACAAAGAGTTTGTCTTTCTGAAGATTTTGCTCATGGTGTTTCGTGGCAGAGACTGTTTGCCAGAACTTAATTTGCAATCTTTTGGTGGCCTTGCAGTTATTGCAAGGAACGGATAAGGTCTGTTGCTGCCATTAATTCTTTGAAGGACTCTTGCCTGGACTTTTCGGTGGCTGGGTCAGATCACTATCATCATCTTACCAACAGTCAAAAGCCAAACACCAGCACTGGTGACATTACCTAGTTGGGTCATGAAACGTCTGCAAGAAAACAGCCAAGCTCAGAGAGCAACGAAGAGACCTCGTGTCAACCTTGAGCTGCAAATATCCTCCTTTCTTAACCTGTATTTTGTTCATTCCATTTGTTTGCCACCCGTCTCGTTTTGAAAAGCGATTCTTAGGTGGCAAAGAAATGTCAGCGGCCACTTTCAATGCAAAAAGGCCACCAGGCTCGTCTTTCCTCCACATATTCCGCTCCGGCCTGAACACGTTTCAGGTGGAATTGGGGAGAACAAAACAGCTTTCCTTCCACCGCTTGCTTGCAGCACGTTGTGTGCAGAGTTGGGCTGCCTCAGGCCACTTGGTTCTCTGCAAGGAACAGCCGCTTGCTCTTCCTTCTTTCCTAACGCGCCCAGCATTTCCCCCCCTTAGTGGCTTACAAGAGTCTGCACGAGCGACTTACCGCATTCATTGAACTTGTCCTTCAGCATTTTCCACGTGAAGTCAAAAGGGAGCTGGAGAGAACAGAGACAAGACGCCACCAAGTCATCCCCACTGTGGTTTCCCCCTCAAGCCAGGTAGGAAGCAAGCCTCAAGCTAGGCCGCGAATCCCACCAGGAGCCCCCCCCCCCTCCTCCTCCCTTGGGTCAGGGGTCTGCTGCTGTCAACCCAAGTCCACTTGGAGGCGTAACATGCTTTGAGGTTGGGGGGGGGGGGAGAAAATGGGGACACCAGAAAGAGGGCAATTCTCACTGGATCTCCTCCACCCCCAGACCCACGAGCTCAACTCACGTTTCTCACAAAAATCTGGCAAGCCTTCCTGGCCACTCCGCCGGCGGCAGCCACGGGCCCTCCAGCTCCCAGGGCGCTGGTGAAGTTTCCGGCCGCGAAGTTCCCGCGCTCCATCTCCATGGTCCTCTCGAAGGAGCTCCCCAAGGGCAGCCCTATCCTGTCTAGGCCCGCCCCCATGCCCTGGCTCAAGGCCGGCCCCATGCGGTCCATGCTGTTGGCAGCTGCCCCCATGCGGTCCAGCCCCATGCGGTCCAGGGGGGCCGCCAGCCGGTCCAGCCCCATGCGGTCCATGGGGGCCGCTCCGAGGCGGTCCAGCCCGGCCGGCATCCTATCCATCACGGGGCCCATCCCCGCCGGGACCATGCGGTCCAAGCCCAGGCCCATGCGGTCGACCCCGCTGCCCATCCTGTCCATGGCGCTGCCCACGCGGTCGAGGGTGGAGCCCATGCGGTCCAGGCCGAAGCCCAAGCCGGCCCCCATCCGGTCCATCCCGGGGCCCATGCGGTCGATGCTGGAGGCCAGGTGGTCTAAGCCCAGGGGGGCCATGCGGTCGATGCCCGAGCCCATCCTATCTACTCCGGAGCCCATGCGGTCCAGCACTAGCCCCATGCGGTCCATCTCGGAGCCCACGCGCTCGATCCCGTGGCCCAGGCCGCTGGGGAGCCTGTCAATGCTGCTGGCCATGCGGTCCAGTCCTGGGGCCATGCGGTCAATGGCCGGGATCGTGGCGCCACCACCGCCACCCCCTGGGGGGGAAAAGAGAAGGAGGAGGAGGAGGCGGCTCTCAGTCCCGGCAGGAAAAAGCCCCTCCCTCACCCTCGAATCCCCAGGAAACCCCCTCCCTCCACCCACCCATCCCCCCTTGTAGGCTCAGCCTCTTCAGCCTCCTTTTGCCTGCTGGGGGGAGGAAGGTGGGCCCCCCCCCCCCCCCCGGCAGAAAGGCCCCGGCTGTCAAAACAAGGCCTCTCCCACCACCGGGCAGGGCCCTCCTGCCCCCATTTTTATAGGTAGCCCTCGACTTACGACCACAGTGGAACACACACACACACACACCAAAATTGTCGCTAAGTGAGACCTTGGTCAATTTGGTCCCATTTTACCACCTTTCTCCCTTGCCAAAGCAATCCCCCGCCGTCGTTAAGTGAATCTGGCTTTGTCAGAAAGTGGGAAAAGGGGATGATCGCCTGACACACACACACCCCGGTAGGGTGCTGCAACCGTCGTAAATGTGAGTCGGTGGCCAAGCAGCTGTTTTGATGACGTGACCCCAGGAGATGCTGTATGGGTCATTAAGTATGAAAAACGGTCATAAGTTGCTTTTTTAAAAAAAGTGTGTTAACTTCAGTCATTGAATGAATTGTGAAGTCCAGGACAACCAGTACAGTTCGTTGAGTGGCCATTCCAAGTTATGACGACACTGGAGAAAAGTGACTTATGGCCATTTTTTATACCTACGACAGTTGCATCTTTAGGCCACTGACTCGCTTTTATGACAGTCGCAGTGGCCTGGGGGGGGCGTTGTCACGCGATTCCCTTTTGGCGACGACCTAACGAACACAGTCAAGAGGGAAGCCGGATTCACATAATAACGGTGTTCCTCAGTTAACACCTGCAGCGATTCACTTAACAACTGTGGCAAGAAAGTCGTAAAACAGGGTAAAGCTCATTTAACAAAGGCACCCCTCCCCTCCTTCCTTCCTTCCTCCCTCAGCTCTTTCTGAGAAACCCGCCATTCCTCCTCCCGCGGGAAGCCCCCAGGGAACCCCTAGCTAAGCATGTGAGGCTCAGCTCTGACCCTTCCTGCACTCGCCATCCCCTCCCTCTACGCTCCGGGGGGGCAGAGTCCGGGTGACGTACCTATGCCTCTCTCCAGGGTGTCTCCAAAACTACGGGGCATCCCCATTTCATTTCTCGGGAAGTCTCTTTCGAATCCCCCTCCGATGGCACGGTCCATTTCTGGAAGACAGACAGGAAATCAAAGCCTCCAGCTCGGGGGAAGTGGGGGGGGGGGAGGAGACACAGGAGCCAAGGCCCAAAGCCAGCATCCTCCCTGGGTGGGTTTGAGGTACCACCTGGGTGCGGCTGGGTCCCTTCAGCCGGCCTCTCCCCCCACCCCCCACCCCCCCATTCCCAGGAAGGCATCTCTCCACCCCCACGTTCAAACCCAGCCTGTCTAGATCCCATACAAAGGAACGATCCCGCCTTGGCTCTTGTGCTTACAAAACGAAAGGAATCCTTTCGGGCAAAGAGCAACGGAACTGTCCTTGAGTAAGGACCATCGTCCTACCCATCACGGTTAGGAACTTGGGACAGTTGTAAATGACATCGTTTTGCAGCGGTTGTTAAGTGGAACATGTCCCTCTTCCATCTGCCTTCAGGAGCCACTAGCCAGGAATGACCTAGCCTTAGGACTACTGCCACAGGGGCGCCTCACTGGGGGTGCATGCGCACAGGTGCAAAAGGAAGGCAGCCATTGACGAAATTAAGGCTGCAATCTTCTTACCACTCATCCGGCCAAGGTTCATTCCGGAAGGAAAACGGCCCAGGCTCTCCATTCCACTGAAGGGACCCTCCATCCCTGAAACGGAAGCATCGCTGTTCAGCTCCCGCTTCGGGAGACCAGCAAATTGGCAGCACGCATGGTGAAATCGGGAGATTTGATAATGCCCTATTTCTTGCACTTATTAATAACAATACGTGCGGCGGCTCACCTGGCCTTCTTCAGCCAGACCAAGAAATCCTCCAAGGGCCTCTGAAGGAGGCCGGAGAGGGAACTGAGGGCAATTGGCTTCCTGGACCAAGCCAGGCTGGCAGGAAGGTGCTGAGATCCTGATGGTGGCTGACTCTCCCTAGGGGCTGCGAATGGTCAAGCGATGGCCCCGCGCCCGAACAGTGAATGCTCATGGCTCATTTATGGGATGCAATGCAAGAGGCTGGCTTTAGCGAGTGGTGCAGTGACCTAGAGGTGGAGCTCTCGCCTCACAATCAGGAGGCTGTGAGTTCGATCCTAGGGAAGAGGCAGGTATTTTCTCTCTCTCTGGGCTGGACAAAACTCCGCACTGGCAATAGGTAGGGTATCCGGCCAGTAAAACGCTCCGCTAGCTCCATTCTGTTGCCCAGACTCCACCCCAATGCAAAGGATTATGGGGCCTTTAAAAGAAGAAGAATGCAAGTCTGGCTTTCCAATTTAGTTGTCAGTTACTACGGAAGATTCTGGATGATCTTAGATATTGTCAAAGTCTCCACTGCAGACTTCCTCCAGCTGCGGGACTTACCTCCCATTTTATTCATTCCGAAGCCCAAGCCTTCGATCCCCATCCCTAAAAATAAAATTAAAAAAAAGGTGTTTGTGTGAATGCGCACAAGAGCAGAAGACATTAAAAGAAGCGGCCCTAGCACAATGGTTAGAAGGCAGCACTGCAGGTGAATTCTGCTGCCTGCTGATGATTGTTTTTTCCCTTTTCTTCTACACTACCATGGACATTTTAAAATAAGCATTTATTTAAAGTATTGCAAACTAACTCACTATTCACTGCCAGCAGTTCGATCCTGACCAGCTCAAGGTTGACTCGGCTTTCTATCTTTCTGAGGTCAGTAAAAAGAGGATCCAGATTGTTGGGGGCAAATATGCTGACTCTGTAAACCACTTAGGGAGGGCTGTAAACTACGAAGCGGTATACAGGTAGTTCATTTAGTGTCTGTTACAGCAGTTCACTTAGTGACTGTTTGAAGTTACAATGGCACTGAAAAAAGCGACGACGACGACCATCTTTCAGACTTATGACCGTTGCAGCATCCCCATGATTACGTGGTTTACCTTCAGATGCAACCGACTCACATTTATGACGGTTGCAATGGCTGGGGGAGGGGGGGTCACGGTGACCCCTTTTGCAACCTTCTTGACAAGCAAAGTCAATGGGGGAAATCAGATTCACTTCACAAACGTGTTCCCTTAATTTTAACAACTGCAGTGATTCACTTAACAAACGAGGCAAGGAAAGTCGTCAAATGGGACAAAACTCCCTTAACAATTTTTCACCCAGCACCAAAAAAAAATTTTGGTGGGTCCCTTGTGGGTCGTCCAGGTCTACCTGTATGAATCGAAGTGCATATTGCTCCTTCTGATTTGGAGCCTGTCTGTGGGGAGGCAAGCAGCCTCAAACCGGCATCCAGAGGCCGGGGCTGCCCCAAAAGGAAAGCTTTCCAGCCCCAAGGGGCCCCTGGGAGACTCCCAAACAGGTCAGGAAGGCCAAAGAGAGGAGAGCAGAAGAAAATTGATGTTGGGACGAACAATTGAGGAAGGAGAAAAACAAATACATGGTAGCAGGATCCCAGTATTTGAGGGGCTGCCCCAAAGAAATTTATTTTCCAAAGCACCTGAAAGCAGGACAAGAAGCAATGGATGGAAACTAATCCAAGAGAGAAGCAACCTGGAATGAAGGAGAAATTTTCTAACAGGGAGGACAATTATAACCAGTGGAACTGCTTGCCACCAGAAATCATGGGTGCTCCATCACTGGAGGTTTTTAAGAAGAGACTAGACAGCCACTTATCTGAAATAGTAGAGGTTCTCCTGCTTGAGCAGCGGGCTGGACTAGAAGACCTCCAAGGCCCCTTCCCGCTCTATTCTGATTCTGACCCCAAAAGCAAGCAGATGACTCACCTCCAGGGCCGAGGTTGCCCATGGCCAGGCCTTTGTTCAGGTGATTGGCATCGATCGGTATTCCACCCGGCCCCAGTCCCATGCCGATTCCCCCAAGGCCATCTGCAACAATGACGGACAATGGAGACAATCAATGCTTGTTTCTCATTTAGGTAATAAACAGCTAAAGGTCTGTAGAGATCATCATTCATCCAGGCCATGGTTGTCCCAAAGGTGCTTTTTTCAGGAGGCAACTGACCTGGATGGCTGAGAATCTCTACAGACTTTTAAGCTACACAATTTGGGACGAACACCCTTGGAATGGGGTGGGAGTAGGAATGGATTCCCAGAAGAAAAAAATGCAGACTACAGGAACCAGGAGCACCACACGGGTGACCCTGAGGACACAAATACACTTTCAAGTGGCCTCAATGACCCTCTAAAAGGATGCAAACGACCAGCTGTCTGCAAGGAGTATCAACCCTTCCATTCCCCAACATCCAGTCAGAGCTGAAGAAGCTTCTTGGAGGAGAAGCGCGGGCACACACACACACACTTTTTAAGCACCTTCCTTTAGGCTCCCCTGATGTGAATTTTAAAGAAAGCAGGCACTGGATGCCACAAATATCCTGTGTTCTATTCACCGCTGAAGGACAGCACGAACCACTGTCCGGAGCCCCTCTTGTGAGGGAGATGGGTAGTTAAGAAATACAAAATGCAAACAACAGACAAGAAGCCATATCGCAATATTAAAAGTTATGTGGGGGTCCTTGTTCTCCGAGGTGGCTTGTTTCCTTGCACTGGTCACGTTACCTAATTTGGGCAATGCAACTTCTGCAAGGAAAAAAAAAGAGAACGCCAAGGACCACACAAGTTCAACCCTGAGTTACAAAATTGTTCTATCCTATCAATTAAAAAAAGCTGTGTTGTGTATATCCTCAGGCAGGGCCAGCTGCTTTCTGCAAGTTGTCAACTCCTTCCCGTGTCTCCGGAGACACTCTAGGAACGAATCCAGCTTTGTGTCTTTCGAACAAATTAATCCCAAAGCTCGCAAGCAACACCCAACGCTCTAGTGTCCATGGAGCGCCCCAAAGACCCCAGCCCTTCTCCGAGTTGCAAAGAGGCTGCCTGCTTCAAAATGTATCCTGCTTAGTAGGCTGCTCAATTACAGGCAGGAAATGAATCTAATAGATTTTTGCAAAAAATAAAAATAAAAAATCTTCCACCAACCACCCAATCTCTCCAGCCCAACCAGATGTTGGGGCCTCCAGCAGCTGAATCAGAGGAGGAGGCGGCGTGGGAGTCAGGGTCAGCATCAACGCAATCTGAGAGCTCCAAGCGGGAAGAGGGGGAGGCAGAGCCTGGGCTGTGAGGGAAAGTCAACAGCCCCCAGGTCTGGAGGTGGCTGATGTGGAAGAGGAGCTGGGTCCAGTGCCTGACACGCAGAAGGCAGAGGAGAGGAGAGCAGTGGAAATCTATGGGCCGGTCCTTGGGATGGAAGAGGCACTGCTGCT